AAAATACTTTATTATAGTGTTTTGGAAAGCTCTCGAGATAACCTACAAGAATATGTAACGAGAAATAATAGGTTCCATTTAAGAAATTGAAGGTAACCTTCATGTGACCTTCAAATTACTCTTCAAGGTCAAACCTATGGTACCATCTTATGTCCCCCTCGAAACCATACAACTTTTGTCTGAAACATTTTTTCATATCTCTTTTAGTTTTTTAAAAAATCGACTGTATAAATTAAAATGGCCCACCCTGTATAGTAGTAACAATAAATATATATATATATCTATTTATTGTTTCCCCTCGGGGATTACAAGGCGTTTTTTAGCGGAACGTTCCCAAACCTCTTACATGCTCCTACATGATATAATATAACTCTTAATAATAAATAAATAAATAAATAATTCCTAGCTAGAGTCCGCATTTAAAATATGGTAAGTCAAATTATAAAAGAAACGTGGTCAATTATGGAATTGTGGTCAAACTTCCCAGGGTTATCTGCACGACATCATGAAATATTCGGATCGTGCAATCTTGAGGAATTGCAATAAAAAAATGACTGAATATTAAATATATACACATTTATATTGATTGCCTGCAAAATAATCTGTTCTAGGATATAAACAGCGATTTTTGTGTAATTTTACTGCTTTACCATAAATTTGCTTTTAGGTCACGATGATCGTACGATGGTACAAAATGTAGGAAGGGATGGTGGACCTCACGTCGGTCCCACCAAACATCGTGTATCGTTTAAGACACTTAGGCCGAATCACAGGGATATGTCGCGTAATTTGATATTGTCGAATTTGATACTGGACGCGGACATTCCAATGGCGGGTAGTTCCAACAATAATACTAGGCAGGTGATAATGAAGAGAGATAGAGATAGGGGTGATAGGACTTGGCATACGGTCTCTCGCGGTAGGAACAGTCCGATGCCGAATAGGAATTTCAAAGGAGGCCAAGCTGGTTTGAGGTCACGGGTGCTTCCGATCGTCGAGTCCAATTGGTATAGGATAATTGTAAGTACATATATTATATGCAAATAATTATGTTATGTCAATGATATGTATATTACAGCTTGGACTAAATTTTTACTTGTGTCTTACAGATACCATTTGGTAATAAGTATGAGAAGGACTATGTTATTAATTCGCTTCTGAACTGTATGGCGCCTGAAGTATTTATTCCCATAATGGTAACTATTATTTTTATCTTGCAGGAAAAGTTCATATTTTTTATTTAGTATAATGTATTAATGTAATTTGAATGACAGTCTGCATGTATAAATAAAGCGACAATAAAAATAAAAATCACCTCGAAACCATAAAACCGTTAAATTGTTTACAGTACAAGGTAATGGGAAATGAAGCCAGTTTCTATATTGACGATCATAAGACGGCGAACGCATTGTTGCGTTGCGATCGCAAGGTTCTGATGAATGACGGGTTCAAGTTACAAGTGAAGGCGAAGCCCGGATTTCCAATTTGCGAAATTGATGACAAGTTGAAAGAACGATTGAAGCACGCCATGGTCAAGAGATATGTGCAAGAGAAAAATGCTCTAGACTTGTCCAAGTTTCATGTTGACTCTGGTACGAAGAAATTTCTGACTTTTATTCCCTATAAATATATTAAAGATATTAATAAGATTTGTAAGTTCAAACTACATGTAATTTTTCGCCTTACAGATCTTTACTCGGATTACTTTTGTGCGTTGTGCCACCCTGTTATGTTGATGGTTGTGTTAGATATTGTTGGGGAACACATTCCGAATCTAGAAGCATTAAACTTAGAAGGCAGCAAGTTACAGAATATCGAGAGACTTGAGGTGTTGAATAAGAAGTTCTCGAAATTGAAGATTCTTTATATTGGTGATAATAAGGTAAGTGACCGCGCGAATAAAAAATATATATATGACAGGATCGTCAATATAATGTCCCGGTTTTAAAACCTGATTTATTGCATACTTTAGATCAAAGATATTCACCAACTGAATTGTATTAAGGATCTAAAACTGGAAGAATTGAAGTTGTCTGGAAACCCTGTTTGCAACAAGTATAAGTCTCGGCAAAGTGATTACATAAGTGACGTTCGAAAGAGATTCCCCAGGTTGCTACGATTGGATGGCATAGAGTTACCGCGTCCAATTATTTTTGATGTTATCGACATAACTGCCAGGATACCTCCATCGCAAAGAATGTTTGTTTCGGATCCTAAAATTCAAGTGATAGCGAGCCAGTTTTTGCAACAATACTTCACGATATTTGATAGCGATAATCGTCAACCTTTACTCGATGCATACGCCGAAAATGCATGCTTAAGCCTGACGATAACCAATTTTCATAACAATAATCACAAGTTAAATAGGTATTTAACGGAGAATAGAAACTTATTTAGAATAAATGATTCAAATAGAAGACAGAAGTTATTAAAACAGGGTAGATTGCCAGTAGTTTCGTTTATATCGGAAATGCCAAAGACAAGGCATTTATTGAATACCTTTACCATGGACATCACTCTTGCAACAGTAAGTAATATATAAGTAATATATATAACTACGGGTGATCCTATTATACTGCTGTGTATTACATTTTAGTACTCATATGTGAGATAAAGACAAACTTATAATTTATTTTTTATTAATTGGAAACAAATAAGTCAATTAGTTTTTATGTATTTACAGCAAGCAATGATGTTCATTACTATAACGGGTTACTTTCAAGAACTTGATAAAGACGAGCCCATTCGTTACTTCAACCGAACCTTCATAATTGTTCCGGAAGGTGCGGGATACTGTATTCGAAATGAGCAGTTGCACATTGGTCAGCCGCCTGACGCGCAGTTAAAGCAACTGCATCAGCAATTGAATCAGCTCAGAAGTCAACCGCAACCGCAGACGGTGCCGTTGGAAACTTCAGAAGTAGCGAAACCGATGAGAACAGAAGAACAACTTAGCGCCGAAATAAAACAGCAAATGACGGTGACGTTAAGTCGGCACACAAATATGAATATGGAATGGAGCTTAAAGTGCTTACAAGAGACTCAGTGGAATTATGATAATGCACTCTCTGCTTTTCACGAGTTCTTTAAACGTGGGCAGATACCGTCAGAAGCGTTTACGAAGTAAACGCCATATATTGAGTAAGAAAACTTGCCATTGTGATAATAGCGTAAGAAAAATCAGAGTGCAGGAGCTTCTTGTATAACTGCGATCTCCATTCCATTCCGTCGTATACTTTTTTTTATAAGTATACTTATTTTGTATCTTGTATCAAAACTTGAGTAGAAAGCATTTGGTTATTTGTTACTTTCGATTTATGTATTTCTGGCAACAAAATTATTAATTTTTTTGAGGAAAGGGTAAATGCTAGAAAAAGTAATAGATTAGGTATATTAATGGAGTTCCTTTAAAAAACTGTTTCAAATGTATCTACAATCCGTCTTGTTTAAACATTTAAATTTTGTTTAAACATCTGAATCTTGTTTAAACATTTAAATTTGCACACAATACATTCACATGAAAATTGTTAAAAGTCATCATTTCTATCTCATTACAATCTTGTTTAAGAAAAGTCATAACTATGTTTATATTCTGATTTTTAACAAATTTCATACGTATAGAGATATATTATTGTTTGACAGTACTAGTGAAAACAGTAAATTTTCCAACAATTATTTGTAACCCATAGTTTTTTCTGAAATTATGAAAATGTTAATAAAGTACACATTTTTGAACAAAGCAGAAGTGGTGCTCCAACAAGAATCACAGCTATTTTGTGACAACAAAACAAAACGAGCTGTAAAAACATATGTATCTAAAGTTTTAATGGAGGGCTTCAAGTTTTTATAAGAATAATTATAGATATCTCTGATGTGATCTTCAACTGGAAGCTTTCCATTAAAACCTTACATACATATGCTTTTAGATTGTTTTGTTCATTGTTACAAAAAAATTGCGATTTCTGCTAGAACACCACTCTGCATATTTAGGTATTTTTGGGTAATATGTATGATGAAATCACTGATCATTATGTATAGGATTATGTTTGCATAATCGTAATTACGTTATGTATGACTATATACACAAAGTGATGAACTGAATATTCCCAAAAATAATTTTTATACTTTTACAAGCAGTTATTTGGTAACACTAGTGATCATTTGGGTTACTGTTCATTGGTGTTATTTGATAAATATACACCGTCTAAATTGAAATAGATATGTGCACATTTAATAGTAAGACAAGTCAGATTACTAATAGACTGATTAACTTAGGAACTTAGTTATTCTACATATAACAAGTAATATTTTGTTGCCAATGTTTCTAGGTTTTGATACAAGGTATAAAAAATTTAGTTATTTAGTCTTTCCGTGGGGAGAACAGAAATTATTATTATTAATTTCACGTTAAGATATGAATAGACATTCAAAAATTTACATACCATTTAGTAACACATCATAAAAATAAATTTTATGATGTATTTCTTATGCATTCATAAGCGTTTGCAATGTACATTTAAATTTTCAGAGTCAACCAATTTATTCGAGATTCGGAAAGAGTATGAACTAAAAGAAAAATTTATATTCCATTAACACATTTAAATTTTCGATTTGCTCATGAAGTACGAGCAAATGGGAAATATAAATATATTCAATGATGTTACCGTGATTGCAATGATGTTAGATACAAAAAATTTAGATTTGTTAGATTGGACTTGCTTCCAAGAAAGAGAGAGAGAGCCATTTAAAAGATATTGATACTTTTTATTTTTTTAAATTAAAAAGAAATTAAGAAACTTTTATATTATATAGGCGAGTTGGAGTCTATATATTATGCACATATATTTTTTGTACACAAAAGTAAAAAGTATCTATCTTTTTCTCTAATTAAAAAGATTTCCGTTTGTATCTATAACAAACAACACAATATTCTCCTAATTGTATCTAACATCATTGTGAACAGTTAATTTAAGAAATTTTACATCTAAAAGATTAAGTAAAAAAAAACGTTCTTTTTGCATATCTAATATTTCATTTTTCTAATACAGATAGGATTCGTTTTATGATTTATTTTACAAATGTTTTCCCTTACATTAGTATTATATAATAACTTTGATCAAAATTATATAAAAACAAGTATAAGTAAACAAAGCAAGTGTTTAAATGTTAAAAATAACTCATTATTTAAAAAAACAGGAGTACATGCTTTGGAGAATTTTGCTAGAACTTAACTTCGTTTTGCTGTAATCCTATCGTAAAACTGATCCTACCTGGTTAAATTTAGGTTTTTGCACTATCAAAGGGGTATTTGCTCAAAAATACTTGAAAAATGGGCAATTTTCGATCTTTTTTTAAATTTTTTTTATACAAAACGCGATATACATGGTAAGAAATTATAAATAGTAACAAATACATATACAGAATAATAAGTTTTCTATTTTTATTTATAAGAAAAAAATTTCAAGAATTGCCTATTTTACTTTTGAGTACGTATCTTATTAATTGCACAATTTATTACGCAGGATAGATAAAAAATTCAGATCTCTATATACAAGTTTAGATGTAAAAGAAGTTTCGAGTATTTATAATATAGGTATATCAAACGATATTTAAAGACTAGTGCAATTTGATAAAGTACAATGGTTTCTCAAAATTGTCGTTTAATATGTACGTCGATACAAACGCAATTGAATAGCTTTTTTAAAATTGTAAATAGTGTTATATGATATAGGTTTATGCGTCCGCGTAAGTCGCTAGGCATGTAGGTGAAAAAGAGTTCGCTTACATTATGTGAGTATAAATTATTCGATTGGAGAATAGTACTTATGACTTATGGGTTAAATTTTCTTTTCGCAATATATGTAGCGTTACGTATATGCGAAATACAACTTTCAGTTCTTATCTTATTGAGGATGTGGATTACATTCCACATACATACGAAAATACATATGCACACATCCAACGAACAGCCAGAAACGTCGCGTACCGGGATGATGTTCTAAAATTTTCAACTCTAGAACAATGTCCTGGTATTTCTAAATGGGATTCTTAACTCGAAGTCCAACCACTCGTTGTGATTCGTGTTAGAAAACTAATCCCAAATATCATCTATAGTCAGGCAATATCATGGCATGGTGGAAGGACGTAGACTTCGTTCCTAGAACGAGGTGAATAAGTCTGTTGCGAGGGTGAACAACAGTTGATTAAGCACATTGTCGCCTACATCCCTACGATATCGTATGGGGGTAGGCGCGTAGCTTATATCGTCACAGTGGGAATAGCTGCAAGGAATTGTCTGCATTCCCCTGGAAACTGCAAGCACTCAAGTGCGCTTAAAAGTCAGAAGTGATCTATGATGTGCGGATGTGTTGTCAAATATATTTCAACGGTATCACCCACCTGTTAACAACAACTCGCGTAGTAGCATTGATTATTTCAATATCGTAGGTGCCTTAAATAATAAGGCAAAAAGAAATCATTTATACTCACATACTCGTATGCGATAGTTTTAATTTAAAAAAGAATGTATGCATGTATTTTGACTTGATAAAGACACGCGAAATATTACAGAGATTATTGTATACATTTATTATAAACAGAATTTATAAATCTCACATGTGATCGAAAAACATGTTCTTCTTTACGTAGATATGTACAAAGACGATTAGATACTTTTATTTTGTAAAACGCGTACAAGTGGATAAGATCTTCTACTGTTATTAATGTTACATAACAAAAAAACACTCTTGTCTCGCATAAGAAGGAAAAAGAGGGATTATACATAATGTAAATACCTCTATTAATAAGTGTCGTCGATATAATTAAGAATTGCTTGTACAAACAATACTTAACTGTGTAGTATGAATAAAGAAATAATATTTTATACATAAATTGTTTCCTATTTATATAAACTTACATTATATAAGAGTGTATGCCAATTTATGTGAAAATACATGTATGAAACTGTACGAAAACGTCTCCTTTATTCGGATGTTCTTTTCTCTACGTTTTCTGTTACCTGTAAGCGAGTTATTTCACGTTAAATCTCAGCGTAATTAATTAATCTACCAATTTTACGTATGATTTCATACCTTGTCATACTTATTAGCGAAAAACTCTTCCTTCGTCGTTCTCTTGAAAAAACCTACCTGTAATTAACAAACGAGAACCAACGATCAAAACATACTTCGGAAAAGCAATAATGATAGAACAGCGGTGTGTGAAAGACTTACCATGTTTAATATGATAATAACGATACACAGTACAAGTAAACCTAACGAGACCGACACAAGTACAACCCACAGTTGCAAGTTTTGCGTCTTCCCTACGCTATAAAATTCGGTCGTGACATTCACATCATGCCTGTAACGTAAATATTTCTTAAGAAGTATTCGCACAAAGGTATCTGGAAAATTGGCAATTAAAAAAATTTTTTTTCTCATAAACGAAGAAATTTAGGATCTTGTAATTCCGCATACGTAGAGGAAAGTCCCATATTACGAGATAGGATCCTAATATGGGCTAATATGGGTGGGGTTTCTGTTAAATTAATCGGAATCACATCAGTTGATTCCACCATGAATTTATTGCCCTTGGAGCGAAATCTGTTTAGCGGACAATTCATTTTTTCATTCGTGCAGTCGTTACGAAAAAAGATTTGTGATTGATTTTGGGTGTTGAAAACCTGCTGTCTCATAATAGATGATACTTTCTCATACTTTCCTCTATGTCAATATTCATGTTCGCTGTGATATTTCAAAAGGAATCGATTAACTTCAAATTTTATATTGCCTATTTTTCAGGTACTATTGAGCGAATATTCCCTCAAATCACGGTATCTTTCTTTGTCGTGACAATTAACAATCTACATTATGACAACGTCCGAGAATATTCACCTGACGTCCATCTCAAAAGTCCTGTTTGCCGGTTTTACAATTCGGACGTGAGCATCCGTGCTGAATTTCACGACCTTCATTTCTTTCGACAATTTGAAAGTATCTTAAAATGAGAAGGCACGATAGAACCAAATTTATGCAGAGAAAGCGCAGCGTAGCTTATGTAGATCTTTTCGCTTTTTAACCGATACCTTTAAACCTCGTGGTGTTGAGAATTAATCTCATCACCAACCTGCCGACGTTCTGTTGCGTCCTCAACGCGCTCAGGTCGCAGTAGATCGTCGAACAATTTACACCGTATGTCGAACAGTTCAGGTATACGATATTGCGTTCTCGGACCGTCAGATTAACGTCCGAATCTTCGGATGTTATTGCCAGTCTCATATTGTACAATGTTTGGAGAGTAGCAACGACTACGCGAACGTCCACGTGTCTCTTATGTACGTTATGTATCACATTCTGCATCGTTTCGTTATTATAATTTAGATTATAGAGATCAGGTGCATCCGACATCTCTCCAGGAAGTTCATCCTGCTGTGTATCCAATAGATCCACCCCGTTCGAAATGCAGTCGTAATATCGGCCAGATATATAAATCTGAAAAATGATTGAAGTGAATCACCTTGTACTATTTTTACTGCGATGTATGCTTGGTACCCACCCGCGGCTGATACAAAAGTACCAGAGAATCTGAGCTGTCCACGGCCGTTGGTAGATTGACGACAAGCTGCGCCTCTTCCACAGGAGTCGCGCCGAATTTCGATATCTGATAAACGTGTTGAAAAATTACGTTCGATCGTGCGCTATTCAAATTGAATAGATAGTAACTTTTCTCGAGCGCCTTTCTGCAACACGACGCAACTGTTATTGTCGAAAGATTGTTGTCCTTACTCTTTTTCTGCAAAGTATACTGACCCGTTCAGCAACAAAGACGCCTCGCTTTGTAAAGTCAACGGTGATGTAATCATATGCGTGCCATTATTTCTGCTGCGAGTTTGTATCTCCGTAGAGAACTCCAGAACTTGCCCGGTCAATGAGCCATCCGTCAAATGTCTCATATCCAAATCGAGTTTCACAACTTTCTGCAGAAAATTGGTTAAATTCCTCGAGAGAAAACTTTTTAATTTTTTTCTTAAAAATCGTCAAAATGACCAAAACATTCAACTATGCGTAATTTTTTATTGGATTATATAAACCCTGTGGTGTTGCGAGTTTAATAAAATTTATGGTATGTGGACAGTCCAGTGTAATTGTAAGTTGTAATTAGATGTAACTTGCAATGAACAAACGAGCACTTATTTTTACCTGCTCATCCGTCCCAAGCGGATTGCCGGCGTTGCAAATAACCGTCAAGATACCGGCGTTCATATCTTCTTCGCAAAATGGTAAAATACTACGCAGTACTACCTTCTTTGGGAGGGTAAACACTATAGTCGTATAGTATGCCGGTTCAGCGTAATTCCTTAAACGAGTTTCCAAAGTGATGTCGTTGGACCCGATCACCCACGTATTATTCTCCCTGTAATTTACGTTTTAACAAGATAAGCATGAGATGTAATATCTTTTTGCGGGAGTTCGGTATTACGTTCGACATATACTTGCCTGACTCCCCAAAGTTTCACCGTTGCGTTTATATTGGAATTGCACACTTTGTCATCCCCGCACCCTATATCGAAGGGAAGCAAAGCTTGCGCGCGCCTCCAGCTATTATTTCTGTGTTCAACAGGACAGGTCTTGTTAAATTCAGACGAAATGTTACATACAAAATCGTGAGATGCATAAATGGTAATCGGTTCAATGAAATTTTGAATATTATCCTGCAAAATGTACACCATCGTTATTAAAAGCTGTGGACAGTCCAGTAAAACATTTTTCATACAAAATACGTATAGACATGTCTATAATTAAATATAGAATATATCAAATTTTATATAGAATGTCTCAACATATACTTTCCTTCTTTTGTGTAGTTTCTATCTGTGCAGTGAAAATTATAATAAAATTAATTGAAAAGAATTAGAAAAATAACGTTTGCGTTGATTCTCTACAAAATTGTATAACTTGAGATTACATTAGTGTTTTATACTGCATAATTTCAGATTGTATTAATATTTTATACGCATAAATGTTTACCGAAAGAGTAATAGTAGCATTCACACATGTACTAGCATTCATCGAGTACACATCCAATGAAGTCTCTTTAGTACGTTTATATTTTTTGTCTACGGTAAAAGAAATTTTGTATCCTATAAATAAAAGCATTGCGATTAATATAATGCAATAAGAATTGTTACATAATAGATTATTTCCCAGTGAGAAATGATTCGTCGATCGACCTAACGCTTCATGTACTCACTGTGTGTATTTTCTACGTTGTTTCTACGATATTCAACACACGCTGTGATCAAAAACCTATTAATGTTTATTTGTAAAGTGCTTGGAACGGTGTGCACGGTTAAAAATGTTCTTGTAACGGGTTTACTCCGAAGTACTACGACGTGTCCTGATTTATATGCACCTACCGCGATGTCCACGTACCTATAAGTGACACAGACTTTATTATGTTACAGATATTAACGTCCCATAGACACACATATCTAAAAGACGACTTAAAGACGTCTTAAAGATGTCTTAGATATGCGTGCTGTATGGGGTTGGAAATAACATAATTTAACATAAAATAATCGCATCAGTATTAATGGGAATATTTATATAAATACAATGTCGGTTTGGAAGCAAATGTAAATTTCAAAAATATTTCAGTGAGATTAACTTAAAATCCGACTTGTGTCTCATGCAATATGTTTTTTAATCTAAAAGTAAATAGGCATCATATTGAACACGGTTAATTTCAACAAAATAAACCACATGCTATTATTACAGTTGAATTATTAAATGTACAATTTTTTTCCAAAATTCTAGTAAAGTTCAGTTTGTTTTTGAAAAATGCTTATTTACAGTTAACGACTGACCCGTTGTTATCTATATCAATGGGTTCAGATATTGAAAATCCAAACGTTTGTATATCCGTTCCTTTTATCAAGAGATTACAACGAAGTGGTTGCATCGTGATCCTTTGTGACATCGTAGGCCTTATTTTACTCTTCAACCTCGTGTTGTAAAAGTCGACGCTGTAAATGTAAATTGCTCCGGCTTCTTCCCAGGGAGCTCCCACTATGATGTCTGGAATTTAGCAACAATAGAACGTTCATTTTTACAATGAGCTTTCCGATATCAAAGAGTCGAGTTAAGTACAGCCTTAGTTAATTACCGCCATAACCATCTTTGTCTAGATCGCCGATTGCCACCGCGTAACCGAACTGTGCATCCTCTATGGCGCCTTCCAGAATCACGGCTGCATCAAGCCTTCCCTGTATTAAAGTAAACAAATCAGATATAGTCAGATAAAACGGTATAAACATATCTGACCACATTTGATTTGATACACTTCTAAATGGATGCATTAAAGTTTCGATATAATCTGATCAAATTTGATCATATCTGACATTATTTGTTACAATTGGAGAAACTTGGATACATGGTATTCTTCCCCGGGTTGTTAATTATCGCTGGCGACATTGAAGAATTCTTATTAGTTAATATCTATAAAAGTTACATCTGGGTTGCCGAGATATACGTGGATCCGGCCGTTATCATTCCCCCAATGCGGAGCTCCGACCACAAGATCGTGCAGATAGTCGATGTTTAAATGACCGCTGGCCAGGCTCGCCCCGAAGAATTCGCCGATATCACTGCCGCTGAGACTGGAGACCGGGGGTATGAAGAATCCGTACAAATTCATTATAAGGACCTGTCGTACAATATTTAATGTCACAGTGATTTCTCTCTTCTCGGAAGAAACGGAGCGTTTTGCAAGAATAATATATCCATTGCTACCAATGTGGATTATAAATCGTAGTCAAGGATTTTAACTTACTTTTAATTTTTTTCCAATTTTAAGAATTAGAAAATGTCAAGTGATAATTAGTTAAATCGAGATTAAAGTTAAAGTGCATCGGCAGAAATGGGCACAAGTGGCGTAAGTATAGAATGTCTTACCTGCCCTACGTTATTCCATGCCGGATCCCCACAGGCGAAGAGGGTTTGATTCCGCATGATAAACTCCCCCGATGTTACCGCGTAGCCTGTTATATAGTTAATAGTTTAATCAAAATCTGTTTTCGCATATGATCGTGCAATAGAAGTTTTATTTGTTACACAGAATTCATACCAAATTGCGATGAAGAGTCGTGTGTCGGTGCTACCATAGTTTTTCTACTAATTTCACGATACGGAGGTCTCGAAAAATGTGAGGCGTAATAATTTTTGTTCGAAAATTGTGTTACATCGACACTACCCATGACATTGTCATTTGGTCTTCCCACGATGCGGCTTATTGCTCCCGATGATGTCTGTAATTTCAAATTACGCATAAAAGCCATAATCAAACAGCAAGATATTTGAACGACAATAAATTATATTAATATTTAATTACAGAAAGAGTAGGATTAATATACAGAAAGAATTAATGGAGATATATATATATTTAAAACATTTCATACCTGCGATGGTGCGAAGGCAACGGAGAAACCGTGGATTGGGTTGATCCACGTTTCTTTCAGGAAATCTAATATAGATGACATTAATATTTTGCCTAGAGAAAATTCCTCTATTATGAGATAGGTTTCTAATATGAGATAGCGGGTTTTCGACAGTCAAATTCAATCATAATCTTTTTTCGCAACGATTACCCAATCGAACAATGAATTTTTCACTAAACAAATTTCGCTCCAAGGTCAATAAATTCATGGTGGAATCAACTAATAATGCCTATTAATTTAACAGAAACCCCACTATCCCATATTAGAATCATATCCCATAACAGGGGACTTTCCGATATGTGCATACGCGTATGAATTGAATAGTAGTAAATTATGTTAATCGAACAGAGAATATAATTAATTTTTAATAAAAATATTTTGGATATGCATTGCCGGCCAAAAAGGTACATTAATTGAAAATATACTGTATTAATCTACCATAAAAAAATTGAATCAAATTCACGCGTTATAATTTAACGAATTTTTATTACTTCATTGTTTTATAATGAAATTAATCGTATAGAAATTGATTGCCTTAAGATAGTGACAGAAAAATAATTACCAAACTTTGTAATGTCAGACATTTCCAAGTTTAATGAGGTCAAAGGCATTTGACCGCTAAAACATGCGCCGTGCAAAGTTTCTATGTATTGGTTTCTATATGCTATATTCACAATCGTTCGTGGGGCACATACCTGTAATAAATAAGTAACGCGTTAATTGAAAGTTTTACTCAAGACATATTAAAATAAAAATATTTTTCTTAAAAAGCAACGCAACATATTGTGTACAGAGAGAATTGTTTCTTAAAATTTACCCTGAAACTTATGTAATCGTGGGACAACGCGGCATTTCGAAGAACTCTATAAGAGTTTTTTAAAATTTTACCATACATTTTACTAGTTATTATACTTAGTATACATTTTACTAGTAGAATGTATGGTAAAATTTCAAAAACCTCTCATAAAATTCTTCAAGATGCCATGGCGTCCCACGATTACATGATTTTCAGGGTAAATTTTAAGAGACAATTCTCTCCGTCATTTTGCTTACAAAAGTGCCAAACAATTTCTTAAGGAAGCGCGTTATAAATGTATATGTTTAAATAATATCAACCCTGATTAATTCCTCATATCTTTCGTGCATACCGTAAGGAAATCGCTTTTCCGTTCTATCGACATTGCACCACCGAACCAGGAATGTTCCTTCTTTGCATACGCGGCGGTGTTGATTTGATGTATGTATATTTTTTCGTTTTCCACGATATTCGGCCTGATCTCCACACACGGGCCCGGTAAAAAGCACTGATAAACCACACCGGGTTCGTTTAAGAGTTTAAAATCTGATGTATTGCGCGATGATCGCGTATAATTTCCACGAGGTGCTCCTATGAGTAGCCTTATAAAAAGGAATACATATGTTTTAATATGTTTCTACAACAGGTAACAACGGTACATGAATATAGCGACAGGAAATAACAGTTTATCTTGTTCCCAGATAGCACAAGACACTCCTATGAACATTTTAAGAATATTCTTCAAGAATATTTAGAATATATTCCATAGGTCATTTTTATATATTTATCTTATGTTCGTAGAATATATTCGACTGGCACTACTATAAATCTTTCTCGAATGTGAATAGAATAATCTATCGAATATAGCGTGTCGATTATACATGGTATGACAGGTTTCACTGCCTTTTGCATAAGATAAGTGTATTACACAATAAACAATGTGCAATACATAAACTCAGTGAATATTAAAAAATTATTCGGAACGAATATTCCGACGACATTCTCGACGAATATTGTAAAAACGTACTTCTTTGTTATGAATATACCATTTCTAATTCTAATAATCTATATATATCTGTAGAATATTCGATTCGAATATTCTGAAATTAAGAGTATTTGCACTCCAGAAGAATATTCACAGAACTATGTGTGCTATTTGGGTTCTAGACATGTACTATCAAAGATCAAAAGTAAATTCCCGTCGATTGATATTTGACAAACATGATAATCCTTTCCGAAAATTTATTAAAATACTTTCGAATCGCTTATTATATTATCTCGTATCATAAAATTGAGTTCCATAAGAACTTTTACTAAAATATGTTAAGTTAGTGCACACATTACCATGAGGCATTCCCCGAGTCACGATGCAACAATACCGTGTATCCAAAATAATTACGTTCGAATTTCGTGTACAGATATTGGTCCGCATTAGTTGCGCTGTTCGGATACAATATTGGGTAATCTGTGTCGATATTATACGCGGACACGATTACGAGATTGAAGAATAATATAAATTTCGTCATTGCGCAGCGAAGCACTTCACTCACGAGTTTTCACAATGATTTCATATATTTGCTACTATCACCAACGAATTACTGCGAGCTGCCATACATTAACGATCCGACATCACTCTCTTCGTTCCTGAATCCCCAATGACGCACGACGAAAATGTATATTACCCTGATAAAACAGTGTAGAATTATTTTTTATGTGAAATTTTAATATGCGTCCAACCAGGCACGGGAATTAATAAGAAACAGTGCAATTAGTCTGGCCAGCTTTGATGAAATAATAACTGTAGTATCAAACGAACAGGAAGGATGTTGATAAGATAATCGTCACAAACATATTATGGTATTTGCCATTTTATTAATAGGCAAATCTTCTATTGTTCATAATTACCAATTAATTAATTCGTTCTAATAGGAGGCACTATAAGTAATTAACATATCGTTTTTATTAAAAATAGCTTTTAATCTCAAATATAAATCTTATTGTATAAAATAACCGCGCACTTACTTTCCTTCAGAACGAGGCTTGTCAACAAATTTAATAGGTCAAGACAACAGGATAATATACATTATTTACATGTTCATTTGATACATGAAACTAAAGTCAGTATATGTATCTAAAGTATACAACATACAGGGTGTCGAAGATTCGCGCATAGAGTATAGTATAATTTCGCAACAACTACACACAATTTTTGTCGGCAGAGAAATTACAAATAAAGAATGCTAGCTATGTCAGATGTGCGCAATGCCGAATGGCAAAGTGTGTTAACAAAATACAATGAAAGATAGCCGAAATGAAGCAGACTTTGACATACTTACATAGTTACATAGTTTGACAGCGGAAATAGTGCAGAATTTGTCATTTCGTAGTTTTTAGATGGTTACGAGATGATTCTGCTCTGTTTTTGCAGTCTATCTGCTATCATATTCTATCACTGCCGGCACTTGACAAATTTAGCAGAATTTACAAAAATTTTTTCAACACTTATGCAAAAAATATTTTTATACAATTATATCTTATTCAGTACGTGCAGAAGAAGCTGTACAATCGTTAAATTATGGTTTGATTTATAAAACCTATGTCAATTTATTTATAAAAGCTACGATGTATATCCTTTGAGATTAAAACACTTGCTTGTTTCAACTATAAACAGATTGGTTTCGAAGAAAAACCGCATTCCTTAGGCACAATAACAAAATCATTGGTTTTCTATTTCTTATTTTAAATTATCCCTCTCTGTTTAAAATAAATCTCCTGTTCTTTTGCCGTTCGTTTGTAAAACTTGTCTCTTGGATCCAGCGCAGGCAATACCGAACACTGCAAATCAAATTAGAAAGTTTACATTACGTATTGTAATAAATAAAAAAAATTGTAAATAATAATTGATAGCAAATAGTTTATAAAATTATGATAGTGGATTAACTAAAAAGTATTAATGTCTATAATTCAACAATAATTAGCAACATTTAACAAAAGTTAAATGAGATACCCCTGAATTTCTTCGCAGTTCTAGCGCTTTTGTCATTTCTTCGTTCAAATTCTTCTCTCTGTCACCGTGAGCAGGATGCGTCGATATCCATGATAGTTCTGGTGGCAGTGTATGCATTTCTGTAAGCGTCCTCATCGTAGCCCAAAATACAACAGCTTCACGAATATCAATACAAGCCTGAAGAATAGGATATGCATACTAATTCGTAAATTATTCTAACAATTAGTCTTCATAAGTGGATAAATAGTAATACAAAATGTAAAATATAATATTGGTTTCTGTCACGTTGTTCGTGCAACATAACGTACTTTTGCAGCCAGCTTAAGTCCTACTTCGTCCGCTTCATTCTCCAAAACTCTGCTGTACGGAAGGTTATATACGATATTCACAATTCGTTCTCCTATTATTTGAATTATACCAGCCGTTAAATCGGGAAATAATGCCCAGACTAATAATATGGGTATTACTATCAGAAAGTCCCACAATAATTGACCCGATAATGCCTCAAGCTGTCCATAGAAATCACCAGTTACTTCAATTTAATTTACAAAGGGTGATTAACATCGAAAACAATCGTGTTACCACTTACGGAATGTAACAGCAACGAATGAGCCATTTCATGGGCCAAAATAATACCTAATTGATCGTCATTTTCGATGATTTTTATGATGTCCAAGGATACAAAGATATTTCCACCCTGGAATGATAAAAGGGATAAAGTAAAAAATAGTTGGTGCACTGAATTAATATACATTGCTGCATAATGTATCGATAATGCACGCACCGGCAAGATATACGAGTTTGTTAGCGGTGTATTAATAACAGTCAAAGTCCACTCCGTGTCTCTCATCGATTTTAAGTCTTTATTAGCTGCGAAAATTTTTGCAATCACCCTCATGAGTCTCATGTAAGCTGGATGCGAGTGCGGCACCAAATCTGTTTTGTGAGCCTCTAAATGCTGAGTAAAAATGTCGGAGAAAGATTATAGACGGGCAAACTTTTGAGGGATATTTTCATATACGCGGAGAGACTTGAAAATCTTGAAATTCTTTACGGCTGCGCCGTTCACTTACAGCTTCGAGGATCATTTGCCCCAATTTTTTCTCCTGCTCCTGGTTAAAGATTATAAATCTCGAGCGTTGCGTCAACGGATTGGTCTCAAGATGAGTTATGTAGTAAATAGCCAGTATAAGGCCGTACAGTCCGAAGCAACCTTGTGAGAGAATTAAGAAATGTAAATATAAACCATGGCGCAATGCTATTCCAATCTACTTGGCAATCGATCCCGAGGGACCTCACCTAGAAACATATTTCTCCTCTCCTTAAACCACCACTTATATTCCTCTTTCTCTTTCGCGGACTTGCGGGTCCACCACTTCTTTATACCGCGTCCCAGCAATAGGGCGCCAATACGTAAGACGGGGCGCATGAGCATAGCCACTAACGGTGGAACGTGCAAGTTTTGCGTCGTGCGAAAATCACACTTTTGCAATTTCAGGTACTGTATCTTTCTACGATCAACTTTATCTTGAACGGGGGGGAATCTCTTGTACGGCCAAACGTGATGGCGGTTTCTCGCGGAGCAAACAATAAAGCGGGTTGCCGTAGGCTGAAGATTCTTCCGACACAAACTTCTCAGTGTGGTAAGCATATTGGTAGAGAAGAAAGCTTTGGGTGCAACAACTGTATCCGCGATGGGAACGAAAACGGCCTGTCAAGGAGTATTATGCTGCATGCGGGAGCACGACACCCGATTGTCTATAATCTGCAAATATTGTCAATAAGAACAGTTTGCGAAAGCGTCGTACGCGTCGTCTGCGAGTGCTCATTATTCCATTCGTTACGCGAAGACTTCAGCGAGACATAGGCCATCTCGTCTGCCAAAAGATGTTAAATGTGGTCGGATCAGTAGCTACGAATTCACACAGGCTGTCAGCAAAAGACTTCTTTATTGTTCAATGTCATGGATTCAGATTCAATTTAATTCGGTTTTGCCTCATTCACTCGACCCGCTGGATCAATACTGTCCTTGTTCTGCTCCAGGTTGATTGTTTCCAGACCGCCAGAGAACTGCGTGCACCTGTTGAAAAGTTCAAGGCGTGATTAGAGCGGACAGAAACTGAAAATAGAAAGGATACTGATGCGAAATAGACGAAAGGGATTTTATTTCAATTCATGCATCGTAGACGTCCAAGTTGACTGGCGCGTGTTGAAAATTGATCACACCTTCAATTCTCATGTAATGATACAATAACTTAATTCAAGTAGGATCAGAGTCATCTCTCCGTTCAGTTATGTAAGACTAGTTTGGCTTCGATGAAGCTTCTATTTCTATTTGTAATCTTAGAAACCAGTAGAGAGCTCTGTACCCTGCGAAACTATTTGATTTGTAAAGTTGAAACGATCAAATTTAATTTTAGCTACTGTACCCAAGCTATTACTCGGAAACTATAAAAATTTTGTAACATTCATTCTCTCTCTCTCTCTCTCTCTCTCTCTCTCTTGGTTATATATACCTGACAATTTCCACTTCTTGTTTATTCTATATAATCTACACGACTAGGAATGAGTAAAAACCCAACTCAGACATTCCAGATTCATTTTCGATCGCGCGCGGTTCATATGAAAATAATTCAATTTATAATCGGATCGACCTAAATCCGCATTGTCCGAGTTTGTTTTCAACCATAGACCTCTTGCCCCTCTTGGAAGGGGGAACAGAAACGAGGTGGTTTGTCACGAGTTTCTGAACGCTTTCAGCACGTGAGCTCGTGTTCCTACGTTTCAAGTGGCGAGGACCATGGACCTAAGAATCTCTGGACCGAGCACGAAGTGGGAGAACGGGCAAGGGGGCTGGCAAATTTGCGGTAAGGGGGGGGCGAGAGTGCTCTCCTTTTCTGTCCTCTTGGTATCTCATGGTATCTCTTTCTACAAGAGGTCACTGTGACCTCTTGTAGAAAGAGAGGTCCAAGAGGACAGAAAAGGAGAGCACTCTCGCCCCCCTTACCGCAAATTTGCCAGCCCCCTCGCCGTATGCTCGGTCCAGAGATTCTTAGGGTGCCGTCCCATGGCGCGTATCGCGATACGCGCGTATCAGGCGTATCGAACTCTACGACCAATCACAGACAATCCGCTGTTTTTCGTACGCCGGATTTTGGCCCCTACTGTCCCATGGAGCGTATTACGCGGAAGCGTACCAGCGGATCGCCAATCACGGAATCTTTCTGATAGAGCCCTTTCAAGATTCCGTTGAAACGGATCCGTGGATTGGCGATCCGCTGGTTACGCTTCCGCTTAATACGCTCCATGGGACAGTAGGGGCCTCCGA